TGCCTGTCTTCATCCACTTTCCACCTTCTGGGAGCCCTAGTGGCGCTGACTTTCTAGATATATCACGAAGCGGTTTTAGCGCAGAAACTCTTGCCCGCTGGATATTTTCTCGCTCCTCTGTGGAGGTATGACTCACATGTTCACCGACCTATTTCTAGATTCCGATTGTTCGTCAAACAAGTTACGCCGGAGGCATCTTGTTATTAATAATTACCGGTCTCGTTGGTACCATGTTGTACCTCCGACCCGATAATGTGGAATTTATCATCCATCGTTCAACGATATCTTATGCGTCTATGGTATGTCCATGTGCTCTCAGGTAGATAAGGGTTTTGTTTGTCTTTGCATTCTTTTCGATGGATATCCCCAAGTATTGCGTCTAAAAGTCTGTCACCGTGTCTGTTGCTGTCTCATTTTCAATTATCGCGTAAATACTCACCTCTTTGTTTAGGTTTTAATCTTCTATATGATTTCTGGCCAAGTTTGGAACAGCATCCGACGTCCCCCGTTCTTCCACAGCCCGCCTCAAGGAGGCATAGTGAGTCCAAGGATTCTTCTTAGCTCTCCTCTTTTAGGCATTTTTATATCCAGGAGGTGACTTTCAGTTTATTTCGGAAACGATACTAGTCATGATTACATGTATCCTTTGAACCGGTTGTTTCCGAACGATCAGTATTTTTTCTGTTGTATAAATATGACTTTTTGCTTGTCGTTTTTTATGTAAAAAGCTATCTATTGGTGATGAACTCCTGGGCAATCTTCTTCCTTTGACCCGGTATTCTGCGAGTATGTACCCGTTAGTGTAGGCTAATCTCCGGTACACTGCTTTGTTTTAACTCTCGCTGCTTAAATCCATATTTTTTCCTTAACCATATGCTTTTTAGATGTTTTGGTTTCCATAAGTATATTGATGCTGGTCGAAGCCGGCCAGACAGAGGATTTTGGAAAGAAGCGCTGTAAGTACTCCATTGCTTATCTTAACATATTCTAGCTTTCAAGGTAATTACAAATGGATATGCATTTTTTTCCATTAGAGCCGTTTGTTATATTCATATCTTCTTCTTCTAACGCAGTAAATGGTGTTTTACGGAACTTATTTTAGTTTAGTCTGCGAATGCGCCGTCAAGCACCTGGGTTATCTTGATTTTAGACGTATAACATTATCAGACTCAAACGTTTTCGTTGTCTAATTACCCTTTCTTGTACAAGTAGTGCGCTATTGTAACAAGATAAATTAACGGAATGTTTACCCATGCTGTAGTTTGCATGCATTAAATTATTTTCTTGGAACTAACTTTTTGGTCTTCATGCATTATCTAAAACGTCAGGTAGTTAATATCCTATTTGAGAATAGTGATATCGAGGCAAAAACACACATCCATAAGTAAAACTTTTTATGAAGTTGGTCCACTATTTTTGGCAGATAACTCGGTACCACTGTAAACACGGCCTGACTGATATTTGATATTCTTCTGATTGCTGTCCATCGTTCACTGGTTTTCTGTGTAGACTATGCAACTTTATATTGTGAGAAAAAATCGCCACTCTTGGAGTGCTTTAGGTACCCCAATGATTGCCGCCTGCACACCGTATATGTCTCGAACCCGCTAGGCAAAATTGACAATGAATTCCATCAAATACCATACTCGCACTTTCCTACGGGCTCGAAAACCTCACCAACACGAACTGCCAGGTCCTGGCTGTCATCTTGGCCAGGAAATCACATCTATGTGTGATATCACTTGTGAAGTGAAGCAGCCGTGCTACCAAAATGAACTAGTAATTTGCTTTCAGCCAGTCCCTGTCGAACGGAATTTCATCTGCTTAATCATCCGAGGGATCCGCAGATTAGGATACTGAGCAATTCATGTGTGGGCAATCAGATGGTTGTGAGAAGTCCTTGCTGTTCTTTTAAGGTGTTTGCTGTAGCTTATAAATTTATCCTATTGGGTTCACTTTATCCGGTTACAGTGGGCTTTTTGTTTGCAGCAGTGGACATGGTAATCCAAGTAGCCGAAAGCAGTACTTATCTTGTGCGAAACTTAATAAACCCCCAATTTTGGCTGGATCCCTTATAATGCTTCTTTGTACGTACATGCTTTCTCCCTTTAGTGATGGCAATTGGCGGTCTGAGCATTTTTTCCATCTTCTTCAGCCTCATTTTGAGCCTATTCCGGAGAAAATATCAAGGCTATCCATACAGGTTTGTCTGTCCTATTTTCCGTGCAATTATTTCTCTTTTAGTTTTTTATTAAAGTGACCTTCACCAAAAGGAATCTCGGTCAGGCCAGAAAGAAATGACCAGAACAACAACCTTCCACTTCTTCGCTCAAATGAGAAGTAGACAGAAGACGCGTTGCCACCGTCATCATAATCATTCTTATTAGTATTATTCTATTCTTCAATGACCTCCTAATTATGTTCACGATACCTGTTGAACGCCGTGTCGTACCCGCTACTTTTCCGTCATTTAATTAATGTGCTGTTGTTGTAGTACGATAACATTGTCTTCACTTAAGGAGGTCGGATGCACCGTTTGACATGGTCTCCTGTTCTGACCGTCTAGCGCAAATGCACAGCACCATAATGCTGACGTTTGGCATGAAGTAAACTCATGCTGATTACGAGGGCTCAGACTACTACTCATCTTGGGGTTTGAACGCGGGGTCATGAAAAAAAAGCGCGATGGATCAGTCCGTTTCTAACCATCCTTGTAGATTCTCACCACTCTACCATGTTCTTCGGAGTTCTGTCAGAGAC